CATGGCAGAGGAAAGAAGCCCACTTTGGCAGGAAGGTGTGCTCAAAACACCAGATATTGCCCCTTTGGGGATGGAGAGGAAGGGAGAATGCTGCAGTGTGGGGCACAGAAAATGGGTAGCACCCCTACCTGCAGGAGCTTCTCAACCCCAGTCCGCCTGGAGGCCCTGGCCCAAGGCAGCAGTTCTTAGTACCCCCACAACTGTGATGTGCCAGCCCCACATCACAGGAATTGCGGACTCCTCTGTGTGCTCTCCCTCATCCTTTTTAGCCAACAGCACCCCGCCTCAGGAGCCACATCTTCAGCGAGTTCCCTTTCCCAGGTGTACCCTGGACCCACCTGGAGGAACAGGCCACCTAGAGTCAACTCAGAGCCCAGAAGCGGTGGGCTCAGTGCTCTTACTGCCTATTCTCTTTCCAGTGGGCATCTCCTACTGGGGGGCCAAGCTGTCGGGGGTGCTGCCCAGCCTTGACGGAGCAGCCCTGATGGATGCCTGGGACGCACGTCGTCCAGGGGGGATTGTTTTCCCTCCTGGGTGCACTCTCTCTCACTAGAGTCTCCTCCCTGGCTTCTGTGAGCTAATCAGGGAGAAGGAGGGGGAGGAGGGGGATGCTGCTTGCCTTCCCCGTTATCTGCAGCAATCCACGGTGACTAATGCTCCCAGTTGGTAAAAAGGCAGTGTAATCAAAACACATTTTTTTTTTTAGTCCTTAAAGTTAGTCATTCTCCCAGAGTGGAGGAAAAAAAAAAGCCCACAGCAGGCACCATGAAATGCAAGCTGAGAGGCTCGCACTGCGGTGGAAGTAAAGCATTGGGCACGCAGTTCCTATGGGTCTGAGGCTCACGCCCTCCGCCTTGGACCCTTGGCTGGCCTTCTTCCACACCCTCACTTGTTCTCGCTTTCCTCCACACCTGGGCTGTCTGGTCCCCGAAGGACTTCCAGGCCCAGTCGGGGATCTGCCCTTTTCTTTCGCTCTGCCAGGTGCTGCCACCTGCTGGTCCTGAGCTCTCCAAACTGGAGGAAGCATATGAAAGCTCCCAGTCTGAGGCCAAGCATCATCCTTGTTAGGTGCCCGATGGTGTGCTGGCCTGCCCCCCAACCCAGCCACTCACTGAGCCACTCACTGCTGTGCTTCCCTTGGCTCCATTAGTCTGCTGGCTTCTGACCCCACCTGGCCCTGACAGAACCATAGATTGTCAGGAACCTCAGAAATCATCACAGTGGTGAAAAGCATGAGGATCAGAGCCAGGTTGCACAGATTGGACTCTCCATTCCACCACTTAGTAGCTGTGCTTCGGTTCCTCCATGCTGATAATAAGTGCCTATCTCACAGGGTTGTTGTAAAGATTAAATATGAACTGCTTAGAATAGTGCCTGGCACACTGTGAGTGCTCAATTATTAACTCATAATAAAAATAATAACGACAACAAAATACTAAAGTGGAATGAACAAAATACTAAAGTAATAGAGCATCACAGCTCTATTACTCATCCAAGGCAGACATCGTTAATCAATCACAGAACTTCCCCATCAATGGCAGATTCCTCAGACTCCTCAGCCCAGCACTCTAGGCAGCCAGTTACAGGAATCTGACTTGGCACATGGGTTCTTAACCCAGACTCTTTACATTATAGTTAAGGAATATGAGGCCCCAAGGAGGGAAGAGACTCCCTTGAGCTACTTGGAGGCAGAACCAAGGTCCAGACAGCTATTCCTGGCCCTGACTGCTGCTTGCCAGCCCAGCTTCTGATTTGCCACTTCACCACGACCTATGAGCCATCAATGTGGGCTTCCCACCACTAGAAAGTCTAACTCGGATATCTTCCATCTTCTCCCACCCTTGCTCCTCTCCTACGTCCTTGGCCTATGGCAGCCCAGGAAACTGTTGTTCTGAGACATCTTGCTGAGTAGGTGCAGAGCAGAGAGAAGTGGGGAATGGAACCACATAGAAACCTGAGGGTCTAGGTCTTCATTTATGCTGCAGGCCTTCAGGGATGCAAGGGAGCTCAGCCCATCGATTTGGCCCCTTCATACTCACTCCCTTCAGTCTCAGCCCTCATGCTCTAATGAAGACCCTAATGGCCCCAGTCCAGTCATGGAACCCTTGCTCTTAGCTGATTAGAGGCTGGCGTGTGAAAGAATTGGAGGGTCAGCCTCTCTATAGGGCACATAATGACAAGCCCAGAGATGAGGACAGAGAGTAGTATCTGCTTACCAATCTCTGGGTGAAAAACTTCAAGAAAAGGCCAGGAGTCTAGCAGCAGAGCTGGCTCTTGGCTGCTTTCCCTATGGTCCACAGCTTTGTCCCCTGAAGTAGATCTCTGCCACCTGAACATTTTTTAACTGCAGGCTCAGACTTAGGGAAGGAAGCAGTATTCACTAGACCTGAAACCAGGAGTATCCACCTCTACTCAAAGCTCTTCCACTCTCAGCTTCCACTTAGAAACTGCTTTTGCTTCTTTTCCATCCCTCCCCTGAAGGGGCAGGGTCAACCTATATGGTGCTGTCCTGGAGTTCCAAAAACAAAAGGCATAGCTCCCAACCCTGGGTCTGGAGACCCTGCAGCTAGTTTTCGGCAACAGTCGGAAATGTGTTGTGCTTCCTCGTGTTCAGCTCTCCAGCATTAACACCACATTGGGGATGTCGTGCTCACGGAAGGAAGCTATGGATCCACAGCATGCCCGACCATCCATCCTCAGCCCAGCACACCTCAAATTGAGCAAATGAGCCTCAGTTAAGGAGATGGAGCTCAGCGAAGAGCAGAATCTTTCCAGATCGACTCTTAGGAGGCCAGCATTCTTCCCAGTACCTCAAAAGTGCTGCTGGCTACGTTAAAGATTAAGGGTTGAAGATAAGCAGCACAGCCCCCGTGGGCCTCAGCCTGAATCCTTTCCTCCCAGAAGGTTTATGTTTGGCTTTATCCCCGGACATCACTGACTTCTCAAACCTGCTCTCTCGGCTGCCCCTCAGTTTAGGCCCCACCTCACATGCCTCCCCCATTCTATTTCTCAAGGGCCTCTAGAGTCAACAAGATTGTCGACTTGGAAAATCAAAATGTTGGCAACTTTGGGGATGTTATCCATCTACTCACCTTCTAAACAATGGGACCAAGGCCCAGAAGAGAAATGTGACTTCTCTTAGGTCAGTCTTAGTATCAAAGATGGAACTAGAGCCCAGGACCCCTGTAGGTTGTTAGTCTAGAACTTAACATTTTTGCCCTGTGGGATGTATCTGCTACCGCTACAGCCCTGAAACAGACTTCCTCTGGTATATGACAGCTGCCTAGGCTAATACTTTGGGAAATGCTCTAGCATCGTGGGCTAATAACTAAGGGAGACTGATTATGGAGGAGGGAAGAAGCAGGTGGGAGAGCCCTCCACAGGTGCTGAAGTGCCAGAAGGCTCATAAAAACAAGACACACACACACCCCTCCATCCAACACACCCTGCACAAAGTATTAAGGACTGTTCCTCCCTTTGCCGACACTCTCTGCCCTAGCTGTCTTTTGGTGACTTCACCCCATCCTCTTTAATCTTCAAGGCTGCTCTACTACTGTAACCTGAGTAGTAACATGGCGATAAAGCTGATCTGTGTCATATGCTTGAAGGCCCACCCTTTGATGGAAAACTCTACTGCGTCGAACTCTAGACGCTCAAGAATGGAAACAGAAAACACAAATGAGACTGCCTTCTGTGGACGGTCCTCTGAGCTCCCCTTCTCCTCCCGGCCAAGTCCTCTACCCTGCCCTGGAAGGTCAGAACAAACCATACATGTCTTGTGCTCTAGTTCATTGGCTCAGCTACTCTCCAGGCTGCCCTTAAAACACTAGAGTCCATTTTAAGGAGGAGAATTAGAGAAAAGATCCCCACAGGCCCAGCAGTTACTTACACAGGCCCCACTGCCCACTCCTCTCTTCTAAAGCAAGGAGGTTCTTGGGGGTGAGGAGGCCAACAAGGCTCAGAACCCCGGGCAGCTTATGAGGGACCAGGGCCCTGAAGTCTGACTTTGGGAGACTCGAGACAAATGAGATGCTTGCCTGGAACTCGGTCCGCCTGTCAGCCAAGATAAGTTGTCTCTGCCTTGACCCTCCCCAGCCCTTGTCTCAGATTCATCTGGCTAGCACGATTCGCCCTCAATAAAACCCCATGTGCAGCTTAGTGGGTGGGGTCCCTTACAGGCTGCCACACAGCTCCTGTTCTTTCCCATTACCTATTATTACTTTGTTGCCCATTTACTTCTCCTTCCAAGTTAGTAAGTCTGGGAGGGCTTTGGGCAGGATCCATACTTCTTTTTCATGGTTGTATCCTTGAGGTTGGCACAGCAACTGGCACATCTTTGGAGCTCAATGAATATGTTAAAATGAATGGATAGAAAAAATGGGACCATTCACATCATTTGGGTTCTGTAGAGGGGAGTACAGAAGGAAGGGCTTGAAGACATGGTGCAACCTTACTCTTTGCCCTCTTGTGTTGAGTAAATCCACAGAACGTTCCAACCTGAAAAGCACCTATTCTATTTATATTCAGAGCCAGCCCTGTGCCATCTTGAAGGAAAAGATCCATGTATTTGTAACAGGCAACGCATGTACAGGGTACAAAATTTGAAAGAGACAAAGACCATATAATGAATATACGTCTCCCACAGGCTGCCTCCCCATTGGCTCCTTCCCAGGTAGACAATTACTGCTACTGTCCCTGGCTTAGAAAACCTCTCTAAACAGAACTAGGCAATAACCCGGTTAAGCGACACGTGTAGTCAGCGGAAAAGAATTTACAAGTCAGTGTTGAAGGCAGAAACGCGCCCAGAGATCCTCATGCCCCCGCCACAGGCCGAGTCTGGGGTCCCTAAACCAGCGCTCGAGGATCGCGGGACAGGGAATCTGGGCTAGTAGCCCGCGGCGGCGGAAAGGTTAACGCACCGGGCCCCGCCCCCCAGCCGCCTCTTCCGGGCAGAGGGGGCGGGTTTTACGTCACTTCCTGGAGACTAACTGAATCCGGAAGTGATCCCCGAGGACCGAGTTGCGGCGGAGGACCCCGGCAGCAGTGCCAGGTTCGGGACCATGAGCTGGTGAGTGAGGCTCCGCCGACAGGGCCTTTGGAGCCCCAGGCCCGCGATGCGACTTGCCCTGCGTCTCTGCGAGTCCCCGCGCCCGCGCTGCCCGCCCTGCCCTCACTGATCCTCTGCCCAGAGCAGGGCCAGACTGGCCCCGGCTCGAGGGTTGTTCGTGGGGCCTGCCTCCGGTGCTCTGACGGGACTCGCTGGGAGGTGGGCCTGGAGGTCCCGTGTCTGTCTCATTTCTTGACTCTTAATGTTCCAAGGAACCGGTCCCATCTTCTCCAGCTGCTTGAAGAGAGAGACTTGTTCCCTTCTTTTTTAAATACCCGTTAAGGTAGAGTGTCTTCATTCTCCCCTGTGGGCATCTTTCCACCGCTCCCACCAGCCCCAGAGCTGTGTGGCCCTCAACTGAGGCCGTCTGGGCCCCGTTCACTGATCAAAAACCCACTTGCTTTCAGATGACTAACCGTAGTCCCGTTTAAACAGTCTTCAAAGGACAACACTTATGTTTTGAAAGAGAACAGAGTGAAACACTCGCACCCACACTCCCACAATGGGATTGCACTAGTTTTCATCATTTCCTCAGCCATTACCCACTCACCGCTTTCCATCTAAAATAGATCTAGGTAAGCTTAAACATCATGGGACCTATCAGGCTTCCAGAAAAGAAGCCAGAGAGGCTCACAGTAATAATCACAACTCCAGAGCTGGAAGGTACGTTGCTACAGAACTGTGCGATACTTGGCTCTAGTAGACACTTCAGAATGTTTAATGGTTGATCTATTTTGTAAGACTCAATTTGCCCCCAAGGACCTTACTTTCAGGCTCAAGGACCTGTATATCCACAAACCCAAACCTCAGGGGATCCCTGAGTATGCTTGTATGAGTGCGTGGACCGCCACCCAGAGGTGT